AAGCTGGTTCGTTCGATTTATTATGGGCGATGGCCAGGTGCGTTTTGAGGTTGGAACGTTTGTGAAATTAAGGGTTTAGATTCGTGCTGTGCTCACTAAAAGTTGCATTGCGAAATCATTGGTAATATTGCTGTAGGAATTAATTGCGAAGTCGAAATCAATTATAGAACAGGTAAATACGGTTGAAAAGGAATGTAATGTTTTAAGGCGGCGACTGATTCATGCGATCGATCTATGAATATGGCTATGAGTTATGATTTTCGACAGATACGAATGCTTGAGCTTACGGCGGAATTTCTTCTGTTACTTACGTGCAGAGTTGCGAGCAGTGGTTTGAGGTTGACGGTTTGACACTTTGCGACTTTAGATGGTCACTTTGCGTCATTGAAATTGCGAAATGTCGAGTAACAGGTAGATGTAGAATTGTTTGTGGTTAGAACTAATATGCGACTAATATAGGTACCGATCGTTGTGCTTTTGTAGAATAAATACTAGAAAGGACCACCTTTGTTGGGGAACGATTAAAGGGGACAGGAATTTAATCAAAAAAAAAAAACTTACGTGGAATGGAGCTGATAAGATGTCGAACAGGGAGATATTGCAGCGATATTTTACCAGATTCACACTCACTGACACATCCGGTGAATCTACCCGGCCAGAAGAGACAACACGCACGAGCACTGTACCGCGAGTGTTGGCGCGCCCATAGCGGCGTGACTGACTGACGGTGTCGACGCGGCGCCGGCCGGCGGCCGTCGTAATCGTCGTTCCCGACGCGGGCGTTGAGCCGCCAGAGGGCGCGAAAAGCAGCCACAACAGGGGCAGTGGGTTAGCCGTAATTGGGGCGCGTGCGGTAGGTGAAGGTCACGTATAGGAGCCTAGTTAGTTGCGGAAAGTTGCAACGGGATAAGAACGTAGACAGTTAAATATGACATGCTATATGATATCTAGGACTGCACTTCGTTTGATGCGCATTGTTTACTGCTAATAGGATGATTAAAATTAGATTCCCTATGAAAGGCTAGGGACCCTATGACAATATTCTGGCACTCTATAAAGATAATTTGTTTAGGTAACTAGTAGCCCATCAGAAGTTATCGAACGAGTGTCAAGGAGTCATTTCCGTTTGAGCATTCAGTAATTCACTATGATACGGTGGATCACAACCAGACGACAGATCGGTGCGTACTAATTGGTTCTAGATCATCTGATGAAATCAAGAGCGGTTCAAGGTTTGTTAGGATTGTATACGAGAACTGATGATTAGGTTCACGCGTGCAGCAGCAATTAGGGCTTGAGATTACGATTTGGTTTGGATAAATAATGCGTTTTTGTTCTTCGCGTTCTTGCGAGTTAGCGCCAATAATTACTCCACCAATATTGGCACAGGGCATTTTGAGGCACAGACGGCTTGTTTGCCCGCCTCCTATGGCGTAACGTTTACCAGCATGACTGTATGAGACACAGATGCACCTCTCTAAACCCACGTCCAGACCGGAATAATAAGAGGGACACACCGTCACGTACGCAGGGCATATGCACGTTTTCCGCCAGTGGTACCGGCCACTGTTAGTTTTCCCGCTTAGGTAACACTGGGTGAGAAGGCAGTGAGAGGTTTCTACGGCAGGGGGAAGGGGGAAGATTGGCACAGTGCAGTGGAGAGTAAGTTATGCCAAAGGCAAGAAGCCGAGGGTCAGGGGTGAGTCACCCAAAGGGCGGATAAGGCGAGCCGTAGTGTCCCGGATAAGTCCTCATACTTATTTCGTAAAGGTACTCTAATCGGTACTGGACAGCCTCAGGGGAGGGAAGAATGTACTCCAGGACACGTAAGGCCTTGAAGAGTAAATCCCATGGTTTAAGGAGAGTTCCTGAGGAGATTTCCAGGATATGAACGGCATGGTCCCTGGGTCGTGAACGGGAATGTTACACGCGGACCGGAAGAGGGCATAGGTAATCTCTCCCGGTAGAGAGATAAGTCGGATATAAATCGTGTATGTGTGTACCATAAGTCTATCGGACGAGTAGTGAATCCCATAAATTAGTAGGGTGGATCTTTGTGTATAATTATTCTGGACGGCCCTGCGATAAGTATCTTTGTCGCCGGTTAGCGGAGCATGCACTGGATTTCGGAAAGAGACATTTATCTCGCCGGGGAGACCATGGTTTGTAAGACGCCTAACACTATCGGAGGGAATTTCGGGGGCTACCAATTAAATTTGGGTGAATACATGAAATGTGAACGTAATGCGAGCAAGGGTGTGAGAATGATGACGCATGAATCTTAGAGTAATGCCGGGTTCACACCGGATTCCGGACCGGCAAAATTCCGTCTGCCGGGCCGGAAAAATGGCCAATTCCGTGCCGGAAAATTGAAAACTGGTGTGAACCGGCAAATCTGGCAACTTCTTTTGACCGGTCCGGCAGGCCGGAGAGCCAGATTTTCCGGTCCGGCAAAAAGTTGAAATCATCTCAACTTTTGCCTTGCCGGATAGCCACCGTTTGTGATATGAAATTAAGGCACGAGGGAAATAATGTTATGTTTCAGCGCTACAGGCCTAATTTAACCAACGGTGCCCTAATAGTCTCGCGATTTTTCACGAGAATATAAAATTCAAGCGTAAATTTGACGGCGTTTCATTTTTATTTCAAAACATTTGCATCTCAAACGGAGTGATAGCTACATTTCTGTTTTTTGTATTTCACATGACTCATGGCCTTTTCAAATTATAAATTAATTTCATTGGTTGAAAAATATCCATGACTTTATAATAAAAAAGATAAATATTATAAGGAAGCGGTGAAAAGGGCGAATTTGTGGAACAACATTGCGGACGCGCTGGTTGTAGAAGGAGCGGAGCCAGTATCTGCAGAAGAGATTATCAAGCGCTGGAGCCGGCCGCAGGACAGGTAGCACAATGTACGTATTGCTAACTTCCGTCGTCTACGAAGTGGAGCCAGCCGAGCAGATTCTGAAATCTACATTCTACAAGACGCGCTGACAACACTTCTCTGCCCTCGATGCCCTCCTACACAAGCACATAGCAGCTCGGGAGGGTGGAGGCAGTTTTGCCATTCAATCGCAAGTAGAAGATTCAGGAAATACGATGGTACTGAATGCCAAGGATATTATCCCGCGCCCTGCTGGGGGTGGGGGGGGGGGATATTTGAACCCTCCCTGTGGTTTTTCGCGAACATATCAAAAACGGCGGCTGTTTTTGGCACACCTTATCATGCATCTTTTCTGCACATGTAAAAATTGTAGACCAACCTCACTTAAGGTCAGGTCACCAGGTCACTTCAAGTGACCTCACCTCATACAAAGTTTCAACGTCTTCCATATGCTACATCGAGCGACCGACCTCTTTGAAACTCTCAGCGATTGATAAGGGCAACAATATGTACACAATTTTAATAAATAACTATCTCGGAATTTTGATATCGGTGACCTAAGGTCAGGTCAATTTTGTGACCCCCCCCCCCATTATAAGTCAATGGGAGAAAATTGATGCCAAGTTATGCGTTGGCTTGTTGTAAGTCGTCGACATTCGACCTGAAAATTGGTGAAATTCGGCTTTCCATTACCTCTGGTGGCCTGACCTTTGAGCTGACCAAAAAAAGTGACCGAATTAATTTCGTCATTAATTTTGACACTCTTTCGAACGCCGCCTTCCCCGTATCGCTACGTGGCCCAGGAGCCGAGTTAAAAGGGGGGATGTTAAACACCCCCACCAGCAAGGCGTGAAAATTTAGGACCCCCAGCGGGGCGCGGGTTATGGCAGTAGAGTTCAGTGACAGTCAGATGACCGATTTTGAGACCCAGCCATCTACATCAGCAAGCGTAATATCAAGCTCGCCGTCTCTAATGCGCCCTGCCCAGCCCTCAATTCCTCTTTGTTCGCAAGTGTTTTTAAACCAACAACAGCCAAAGCGCGATTGAAATTTATTAGTGTCTTTTTGTCGATACCCAGCCCGCATGCTGTAAATGTTAAATTGTATTAATCTTGCTAATATACCTATCACCAGTGAAGTATGGATGATTTTCGGTTGGGTGGAACTGCATCAGGGACTTGTAAAGCCGTCACACAAGTATATGTTCGATTTCAAAATAATTCGCGAGATTGCTTGGTACCTACTTATCGTACTTGATGGTTGATGATTATGACATTTCCGGCTCGACTTTCCGGTTTTCCGGTTCTAGCGACTTTTTTGACATCTAGCGACAATTTCAACATTTTGGTTCCGGCCCGGCAGACGGAATTTTTCCGGACCGGAAAACCGGTGTGAACCCGGCTTAAGGCCGATAGGAATTTGGTAGAGTTCGGTTATGGCAGTCGAGCAAATGATTCTTGAGGGCAACTTAAAACTAGCAACGCTTATACGAATTAAGTGGGCAATTTTCTTAATGGGGAGGCCAGTATAGGAATGGGTGACTGGACAAATGATCACATTCAATTTATCAATGTAATTACCACCCATATGTTTGGCAGTGGTCATCGGGACTTCGAATGCCCTGTCCTTTACCTGCCCAACTGTGCCGCAAACCCAGCTGATCGGATCCCTCTATCCCAAATCCGAGCAGCGAAGAAGCATCTCGTGCATCATGGTCTATACAATGAACAGAATCATCAAGCCTCTAAATTAAAAAGCATCCTCCATCAGATGTATTTGTACGCAAGGTGGATCTATATCTACATCTTCCTCAGGTGGGGATCTTCATCTCTATCAGGTGGATCTTTAGATCTCTATCTATATCTACATCTTCCTATCAGGATCTCATCACTATCTGGATCCCTCCCTACAGCTATCTCAGGATCTCTTCAACGACTCTCAAGTTCCTGTATCACCAGCTCTACTACCGACAGCATTACAGCAGCGAATTATTCTCTCTGCTAAACCAGCCGAACAACAGAGGACTGCGGTGTTTGATCAACCGCAAAGAAGATGCAGCTTTTTTATTCCTTCTTTCTTCTTTTCATTCATTCCCTTGCTACACAACTCACAGTAGCGACACCGGCCAGTGGGAAGACATCATTCCACGGAATGACTCGAAGAAACCGATGCCGAGCACCGTGATGGTACAGACGACCGTGATGGGCGAAATGAAGCGTAACAGCAGGCCAACGGCTCCTGTAGACGGGAACAGTATACGGTACGTACAGCCGCGATTCATTCATGATCGAGCTCTATGCATTTGAGTGTGTTATGGACTGGTCAGAAAAGAACGGTATCGTCTTTCTCGATTTCCCGCATTTACCGCAGGATCCCATTCACGCCTAGTTTTTTTTTCACTAATATCGGCTTTCGCAAAAGGTGAAAAGTTTTCAAACACCGATGGCGACCATAAGAACATAAATCTCTGACATGTTTCACGAGCATGCCTTGACAAATTTTTACAACGTACAAACATGATAAAAACGAGCCACCAGCCTGCTGCGCATTCCGTCCCTGCCTTTCGGTGTCCATAATCCACCGATGGCCCGTCAGCCGTCACCACCCACCGGTAGCACCGAGCAGCAGTTGTATGACCGAAGCCACCGCCAGCGCCCCAAGCAGTTCGTTGACCCTCGGCTGCCACAGCGCGCTGCGTTCCTCGGAGCTCATGTTCGCCAGCAGGTCATCATCGGGACACTTCCACTGGGGCAGCTGCATGACGGCGGCGATGGGCGCGAGGTAGGTCCAGCTCGGACCTTGTACGATCGGCAGCCTGCGGAGAGAGAAGGTGAAGCGATGTGAGAGGGGGTGAGACAGACAGTGGTGCGATATGAGGGTTCTCTGTTGGTGTTGAGGTCGGAGGCAGCCTGTAGGTCTGTTACGGATAGGGAGGATGTGAGTGGAATTATTTGGAGATGACGAGAGGCATCTACGGAATGGGAATGGTGGGAGAGAGAGACAGGCGGAGTAGAAGGCGGCTGAATGGTGATCGACTGGTTGTGGGCGTCTAGTCTATATCGCTTACCCTGCACCGCAGCAGAAGAGTCACAGTAGGAGCAGTGCTACGAGTATGCCAACGGTCAACGGCCTACGAGCCTAAGACATGGCATGCATTGGCCGAGTTGACCTGCTTTGATGTCCTGGCCTGGTGCCGAGGGTGACCTGATCTGACCTGGTGCCAAGGGTGACCTGTTCTGACCTGGTGTAGAGGGTGACCTGTTCTGACCTGGTGCCGAAGGTAGCCTGATATTCTGACCTGGTGCCGAAGGTGGCCTGTAGCAGCGTGGTGATGCCGGACACGAAGAGGGTAGCGTCGATAATGTAACCCCTCGCCGGGTCGTCGTCTGCCATGCAGGTCAACGGCGTCACCATCAGTGGCATCGCCACAGAGCCGTTCAACATCGTCAGGAATTGCTGCAACAGGAGGACAAAAAGCTGAAACCGGCTGAACCGAGGTAATCCCCAAATTGATGGTTGAAAGTTAACCCGCGCCGCGACGGCGCTCGGTGCCAACCGCGCCGGGCTAGGGGATGTTTGAACGCCATCCCATGCCATCCTCTAACTCGGCTACTGGGCCACGTAGCGACAAGCGGTAAGCAGCATTCGAAAGAGTGTCAAAGATCATGACATAAGTACATGTGACGTTCTTAGGTCATGTCAAATTTCAGGTCATAACAGGTCATTTAAGGTCGAATTTTGTCTATTCCATTTTTTTTATGTAAACAGGCGCAGAACTAGGGAACGAATAGAGTTAGAACGCCGCGGAGAAGAAGCGAGTTTGATAGCTCTTTTAACGTTCTTCCTGTTCTCCCTACCCTTAGCGTCGAAAAACATTAACGCTTTAGTCAACAGATTAGAGGCTTCACAATTTGTACATCTCGGATTTTTTTTTTCTTAAGGTCACATGAGGTCAGGTCAGTTGCGTCACCTCACCATTATTTCAATGGGAAAAATGAAAACTGCTATTTTGGCGCCGGGAACGATCTCAAACTATCTCAACCACACGGAATCGTGATCTCACTCCTTGCAAGTTTTTATGCTTCACCTTTGCATTGTTAACCTTGCATGACGTCATATATGGCGTCACCAAGCTTTTCGTCAATAACTCCTGTTCAAATTAAGCGAGCGACTCGAGAAATCCACCAATGGACTCGAGAAAACATGCAAAATCGAATGATATGCGACATGACCTCCTTCGACCAAGAGCGTGACCTGGGGCCTCTGACCTGACCGTGACCCGAGGTCAACACCTCAATTTGACCTCACCCAAACAAAAAGTATGCCATTCGACGCGCCTGAGCAAGGCGAGCACGATACTATCAAAATCGCGGTTCTGCGGCCATTTTGCGAAGTTATTTGCCAAAAACCGAACCGTACCTTGGACCACTTGACCTGACCTCAGAGGTCACCGGTTGACCTGAGACCTTAAAAGTGGGTACCGATCACTGCATCTCGTAACGGCGCACATGCTTGTTTTTTCAAGACGCTCTAGCTCCATCATGGGAGAAACGGCGAGGATGGGGGTCGTACCCGCCCCCCCGCCCCCTCGGCCCCCTCGGTATGTAGAAAACCAATAGGCCACCCCGGGCCCATCGCGGGTTAATTTTGTCATGCTTTGAATTAGAAAATCGGGTCTTCGGGATAGGTGATATTTTAGTAAGAAAAGCTGTTTTGAAAATTCACATGCTAAGCTTAGAATGGAAGCCCCTCATATCAATATTCTGCAAAATCGCCACTCAACACCTGTGCACAGCAGTGTCAGCCCTACCTGTAACCCAAGCAGCAGACACGTGTACCAGGGAGGAACATCATTTACGCCGTAGAGAAGCTTATGAGAAGGGTCGTCGGTGGTCTCAGAGGGACTCTGATCGTTTCGATCCGCTGTGTGCTGGCGCCTGTCTTCTGCTGAGGAGTTCTGTAAATGAAGCAAAATTGGACAGTTGGACAAAAGACGGACTTGATAGCGATTCTCAGCGCTTGGCTGGCATCGTCAATTTGACTGAAATTTCATAGGTGGTGTTTAGCCTATGGGCTGGCTTACACGTTACACTAAAACTCCGGAATTAAAAAAAAAAACTGATAAACCTACCCTTGATCCTCGTCAGACCTTTTCTTACTACAGGCCCGGGAACAAGGGATGGCGGGTTGTAGCGAGGGGGGGGGGGGCTGCCCCCGCCAGAGGCGGATCCAACTCCAGAGTTTTTTTTCGGGGGGGGGGGCAAACCATAACAATTTATCGATTCTTTCCATGCCTCGTCCATAGGCGTAATGCCGTTTGGGAGGGGCAAAAGCCCATTTTGCCCCCCCACCCTGGATCCGCCACTGGCCCCCGCTGGACAGCTGATCACTCCCTGATGCAGACGAGAGGCGCTACAACAGCTGTCGTCTTGTCTAGGTCACAACCAAGTCGCAGCCTATCATCCATCCGTTGCTTACCTGTGTGTCGCCACTGGCTGTCGACGCCGTCTCAGCCATGGCTAGGTACGTCCACCGATCCGTTGCCTCTCCACTGTCTCTCGCCGGTCTTTCAGTCCGCTGTTCGCCACCACTCCGCAGCACCCCACACCCGTGCACCCCGCTCCCGGGTATACTCGCAGCCAAGGCCTCGCAGCACTGACCCAACACTGACCGGCCGCGCGGCCTTTCACTGCTGCATCTGTCTGTCGGCGGTCGATCAAATATCAGCACGATAGGGCCTTGATCCTACTGCCTTGATCAGCACGGAGCAAGCACGGAGTAAGCACGGAGTGAGAAAAGAAATAAAGAATTGACTCCGGCCCTCGTGATTCACACTCGGGCCTCCGTCAATTTTGTAAACCATGTCTGTTATGGATGATGTTGTTCAGCTGATTAAATAATTTCGTCAGCCCGGTCGGTATTCATATATTGATCAGCTAGATAATCCTCTATATTATATATACCGTGGATCACCTGCTGAGTCTGACAGTAAACGACGTGGGCTAACGAGTCCAGTCGGCGGCGCACGGTGAGCCCCTGAGTGTCCGTCTCCATTTGAAAATAATGCACCGCAGCACTACATGATGCAGTTGGCTGCTTATTGGCATTATGCTCTAGGGTCAGAGACAGAATGGAACAGATAGGTGTGGTCAAATATCCCCCCTCCCACCATGGAGAAGAGGGCTGAGAGGCCCACACGGGGGCGGGTTAATAGCATTGCTAAACGTAGATACAGTTTCCTAGAGGAAAAGGCACGATTCGTGATGGTTATGGACGTCAGTGTCGATGTTGTATTGAACAATATTCATACCGTTGCACTAACTATTTCCAGTATCATAACATCAGCCTTAATTATAAATACAACGCGGTTCAAAAGGACGGCTTTGAAGAAACGGTGTTCATGAGTAGGTACTGAAGTGATTGGATGACGTACTTGTTCTCTACCTACATTAAGTCGGTCCATTCGTTTTCAGACCATTCTAAAAAAAAAATCATAATAACACGACCTTCAAGCTGTTGCCTGCTCATGATCGCAGTATCGACTTATAATCGAGACGTCTTCTGATGCGATCAGGTATAGAGAAGTGGCTGACGCACTCTGAAAGTGAAAGGTATTTTTAGAGCTAAGTATTACCATTTGCTTTTACCTAAATACATTTATAAATACATTTACGCCTTCCAAACGGTGTAAAAAGCATGTGAATAAAGAACAAAGCATAAATAGCCTTTGCAATTAGGTATCGTTTACATTTAATAGACGATAACCAATAACCATACATGCAATTGACATCTCGCATGCCTACAAGTATATAGTTATATATGGTGCACGACATGGAAAATACGGCGTCATTGCCCAAACGTACAATCCATGATGAAACGTTCATACATATATAGTAAAAATGTCATTAATTCTTCAACGCATCCAACAGGGGCCATCTGCATGGCTTGACGGCATCCATGCGGCACTACCTGCCCTTACTAAGGCACCGAGAGGCATCACGCAGGATCACAGTCGGCGTTGAAGGCGCGTACACCATTTTACGACATCCTTTCTCACAAGCTGGTACACCTCTTCACGGGTCCACGCCTCCCCTCACGTAGTGACCCTCTCCGCCCTCATCTAGGCGGGGCTGATGGCCGCAGCCTTCTTGAGTTCGACGCTGCACTGTCGGGAGCGTGGCCGGCGGCAGCAGTTCGTGTCTCCCAGCTCTGGGAAACCCTCAAATGTGGGGCTGAAGGGCAGCAGGCGGGTCCACCGCCACCTGGGCACGAGGGCAGAGCGATGGCGGTTACCGGGGGTCTTATTGGCCATTACGGTAACAATACATATGTAAAGTTATTTCGATCGATAGCAAGGGGGAAACATATTGAACAAAAATGCGTGCGATTGTAAGAAATGGATTGTGTATGTCGCACACCTTTGGCAGCGCATTGATTATCTTTAACAATTATTGGAAATAGACTTAGTGCATTCTTATTATATTTTCCTCAACATGCGTTACTTTTCATTCATTCGTGCCGACTGCTGGGGATTGGTTCATAAAAAAAATACCTGGCTATCATTCAATACCTAGTAGATAGAATTTAAGAGCCTTATGTTAGTGTGTCATGCCAGTTACCTTTCGAGGAGGCGCATGCCCCAGGGCAGGCGGTATGTGGGGTCACTGTCGGCCCCCGCAGCGGCTCCCGCTGTCAGGGCTCGCCACCGGTCCACCCCGCGCTCCTTATCAGTACCTGACGAGTAAAACACGCTTCTTATCAGTACGTGCCGAGCAAAACACGCTCCTTATCAGTACCTGACTGGTAAAACACGCTCCTTGTCGGTACCTGACGGGTAAACACGCTCCTGGTCAGTGTCTTACTGACATTGCGTTCTCCTGTTCGAAATCCACCGCACAACCCTCAAACCCGATGCAGGTCGGATCAGTTTGTCTTAAAGGAACTGATGCATGCATTTTATTTAGGATTGAAAAGTTGACTTGCGAAGAGATAAAAAGAGTCTAAAATAACAGAAAATATTACCATTGCATTGACGGTGATATTACCTGGAATGGTGTTATCAAGAACGGCAGATATTAGTCCAGCCACGAACATCGCAGTTGATAGGACCACATATGTCATTTGGTCCAGAGTCGGTATTCCTGTGGTCAGAAGCTCTGGGTTCTTCTCAATATGCCCAGGAATAACCTGAAACGGTTAACAAAGCTTATGAAAATAAACGCAAGCAGGTATAATCGTGCCCTCCAATACCCAAATAATAACTCATTCAGTGCATGCATGACATGAGCCATGTGCGGACATTTACTGTTAAAAATTGGTGTTTCTTACCAATGCGATGAGAACGGAGAATCCGACCACAAACATGTTTCTTGGAGAGTTCATATCGATATACTGCAGTGGAGATAGTCCTGTAAAACAAACACACCCACTAGAGCTATAATTATGTATGTACACATGGCGAATGGTAAATACAAGTATCAGGTAAGCATATGCAGATGATTCTGTTCGACGTAAATACTAGCCCATGCTGAAACAGATAGTGAAAGGAAGGCATGAGTGATGCGATTTCCCGGATTGACCCATCTCACGGTTCGCTTCGCATCCGTTCACGGCCGAGAGAGAGAGAGAGAGAGAGAGAGAGAGAGAGAGAGAGAGAGAGAGAGAGAGAGAGAGAGAGAGAGAGAGAGAGAGAGAGAGAGAGAGAGAGAGAGAGAGAGAGAGAGAGAGAGAAAGAGAGAGAGAGAGGGAGAGAGAGAAAGAGAGAGATAGAGAGAGAGAAAGTAAGAAAAAGAAAGAAAAAGAAGGATACCTATAAAGAAAGAAAGAGAAACAGAGTAGAAAAAAAAAACAAAGAAATAGAGAGCAACAGAGTGGAAAAAGAGAAACAGATAGACACGAGACTGTATACGCCTGCGCTGAACCTTGACCAGCGTACCCATTCCTGCGATCATGGCGAACAGGGCGACAAATGCGCCGCCGTAAATGGCCGCCGGTATCGACACGAACAGTGCGCCGAATTTGCCAACTAAGCCGAACAGGATCATGTAGACGGCGGAAAACTGTACCACACGGCGGCTGCCCACCTGACGACAGAACAAATGCATGGATTTACTGCGACTGTTGTATTCATCCAGCTTTGATTGAGAGAATTGTAATAACAAAGCACTATTTGATTTGACTTTGTTCCATTAAACAATTCCAAGCAATTGATGAAGGAATTACAAAAAAAAAACTATGAGCTCTAACTGACCCTGGTGACGCCGATGATGCCAATGTTGCCGCTGTAGCTGGTGGATGCGTTGGCGGCTCCAAACAGTCCCGAAAGGATGCCGCCCAGACCCTCGATGGTGATGCCCCGGTTCATAGCATGTACGGGCGGCGCCGACGCGCCTGGAATTAGAAAACAATCCAGAAAACAGTCGTACAGTCTGGTAAATATATTGCTTCGGCGTTATAAAAGCTGGCGGACTGTATGTAATGCATACTTTCAAAGGACCAAGTTTGCCTGGCAGCATTAGAAAATGAAAATAAACACCCACTTCTATGTACATTCTTAGAAGAAAAAACAAACGGACCCCCGTAGTCCACACATGGTTAGCTCAAAGCACATGCATCATCATTCGTCACGGCGTCAGTTGTGCTTACCGGACATTTTGGCGCACGCATAGTAGTCTCCGATGGATTCGACGATGGAGGCCAGAACGGCGGCAGTCATGCCCAGCACGGGTCCGATGTGGACGGTGGGGGCGCCCCAGTGTCCCGGCAGCGGTACACGCAGCCAGACCGCCTCGCTCAGCGCCTGGTGGGGGAGGTCAGGTCAGGACGAACGACAGAACACGGAGCAGGAAATAACAAGACAGGGAAGAGCAGAGCGGGTTTATTTTAAAACGCTGAACGGCTTGCGCGAGTTGCAACATTTATTTGCAAAAACATACTTGTGATATAGATAGACCTGGTTAAGCGAATCCGAATGACGATGATCTTTATCCCGCGCGGGGCTGGGGTCTCCAGCCGAACGCGCGGGGCTGGGGGGGGGGGTAAATTTTACCCCCCCCCCTGTTATCTCCCGAACTAATGGTCCGATTTGGAAAATTCAAACGCCAATCGAAAGCTCTCATCACGAACTACTAAAAACATGTACTTAATTTAAAGTTTGAGGTCAAGGTCAAGGTCAGGTCAAGGGTACAAATTGCAAGTTTCTACAGTATCGGCCTTGCACCGTAGTTGCCGAAGAATGGAGTCATGGACTGAGACTGATCGCCCAAAACGTGTTCTTAGGCTACCAAGACAATATTCATTGCATACAATATCATTCAGAGGTCAAGGTCAAGGTCAGGTCAGGTCAGGTCAGGTCACCAAAAAACAAAATATAGAAAAGGGCATGTGCGACACATGTTTTATGGGTCATTTTACTCATAGAATTCAATAGGCACACTCAATAAGTGATATGGACCACCTCTGGATGAATTTCAGGTCGAGGTCAGGTCAAGGTCAGGTCAAGTGAGGTCAAATTTTGAAGTTGGTTGTTAAGGCCTAAAAAGGTGTCTATCTGATGCAGTTCTTCACGGCGAATCGAATGGTGCTATTTTTGTTTCCGTACGAGGTCTAGAACTTCCAAAAAAGTCATTTTTCAAAAAAATTGTGTGTCGTGACGTCATACAATTTTGAATAACTCCCACATTTTTGAACCGATTCGTCTAAAATTTGGTATGTAGGTGCACATAGACCACTTCTCTGACATATATTCCGGTTTTTTCGATAGACTCAAAATTTTGGATTTTATAATGATTTTTCCAAAAAAGTCAGTTTTTTGAAAAAATTTAGGCCAAAATCCAAAATTTTCAAAAAACCGAGATAGCCATTTGATAGACAAAGTAAAATTACGTATAACCTTTTTTGTTACGTCTTGATTCCTTTAAAAATGAAGATGTTAGCGGCGTTTGAACTTTTGCTGTTTTTGGGGCAAAAATAACGAACATGACGTCACTAAAACGTCAATTTCTCAAAAATTTTCCGACGGATTTCGCTCAAATTTTCAGGGAACGTGTCAAATTGATGTAAGAAAAGGTACTGAAAGTTTGGCGGCGCTGCGCGCCGCCGTTTTTGAGATATCACAAAAATTCGCGAGGGGGGTAAAATTTACCCCCCCCCCAGCCCCGCGCGGGTTTTCTTATAATGCTAAATAAACCACACCTCTAAATTGTCGAGGTCTTACGTTGATATTGAGATCAGTCCTGGCTGCCGAACCTGCCGGTAGCACGTCGAGGTGAGTCAAAATGGCGCACAGAGACCAGCTCAGCATTATACTCAGCAGCACCTGCGGACCGGCGAGAGCACCAATCACCAACTGTGGAGTGTGGAAAGGCGACAGAACCAATCACAGACTGGGACGGACAGGAACAGCAACCATTGAGCAGCAGCAGCTGGAACGTGACTTAAAGCAGAATACGTCCGGGACCCAGAAAACTTCTTTGAACTTCCACTTGACAGTTTAACCGTTTAATGACATTTCCTTTTTATCAAAATTTAGGTATTTTTTCCATCGTGTTACAAATCGCTCGAACTACAAAATCAAGCTCAACCCATGACATAAAATCAGAAAATCCTGTTAGCTCACCGGCAGAAGCTTGAAAATGGGAACTCGTATCACTCCTTTACTTTTCCTTGTGCAATATGGAAATGGTATCTTCACGTCTCGTAGATACTGGCTGAATAAAATCACCAAAAACATCGTTCTGAAAAAGGTACAAAATGTGAGTTAGATCACAGCAAGGAATTTACGGAGGTTTTATGATCCTAGAAATACCAAGTTTCAAATACTAACATTGAATGCAATAAATTATTTCCGTGGAATGGCTCGTACATTATGTTTAGGATCTCTGCTCGGCAGAACAACTTGACCTCGAGGCACGTCCCAATTACAGCGCGAGGAGGGTCGCTTGTCCAATTACCATTAACTTCAATGAGGTACATCCTGTGACAGGCCCTCATTCCGACCTTACCCCGGGAGCCAACAACGGAAGCGACAGGGCAATGGGCAACGGAAGCGACAGGGCAACGGCAACGGAAGAGACGGGGCAACGGGTAACGGAAACGGCAGGGCAAAGGCAGCGACAGCAACTTTTGCTTACACACAGGTTATAAGCTACAGAAGGTTATAAGCTACAGCAGCCTTGTAAAAGCACAGCTCAAACGAACTCACAATTACCCAGCTCACATCGGATTCACTCACAGCAGCGACACAGGCCAGTGGGAAGACATCATTCCACGGAATGACTCGAAGAAACCGATGCCGAGCACTGTGATGGTACAGACGACCGTGATCGGTGAAATGAAGCGTAACAGCAGGCCGACGGCTCCTGTCAACGACGACACGATGGTTCACAACACGGCAGTTGACGTCTAATCTATGCTAGCTCTTTATTGAACTGCTTTATGCGTTCATAATAAGTTAAAAGAAAAAAAACACCGTCGTTCCACTCGATGCGACCCCATCGCTGCTTCCTGTTTGATTTTGTAATCAGGCAATTTATCAAACACCTGGATAAAAAGGCAAAAAATCTTCTCAGAGACGGATTGAAATGTCCTATACTACACTGCCCAAGTGAAATCCAACAGCAGGCCTTCATTTTCCACATCATGTGACGCATTCCGCACCTGCCATCCGTATTCCGTATTCCGTATTCCGCAACCCACCGTTTACTAGCCCCCATCACCCACCGGCGATTGCCGGTGGGATTGCCATCTTCCCCATCAGCCGCCGATTGCTTCCTCGCCCACCAGCGGTCACCCTCACCCACCGGCGGTCACCCTCACCCACCGGCGGTCACCCTCACCCACCGGCGGTCACCCTTCACCCACCAGCGATCACCCTCACCCACCAGCGATCACCCCCAACCACCAGCGATCAACCTCACCCACCGATCGCCCCACCCACCGGTAGCGCCGAGAAGCAGCTGTATGACCGAAGCCACCGCCAGCGCCCCAAGCAGTTCGTTGACCCTCGGCTGCCACAGCGCGCTGCGTTCCTCGGAGCTCATGTTCGCCAACAGGTCATCATCAGGACACTTCCACTGGGGCAGCTGCATGACGGCGGCGATGGGCGCGAGGTAGGTCCAGCTCGGACCTTGTACGATCGGCAGCCTGCGGAAGGGAGGGGGGGGGGGGGTCAATCGGTGTGAGAAGAGTGAGAGATAGTGGGGTGGTGGGGGCTGGAGACAATCTGTAGACTGGCGAGACACGTCTGTCATGGATTAGAAGGGGTGAGAAGCATCATTTAGTGAATGACGAGAGACAGTCTAGAGTGGCAATGGTCGGATGATTCTGTGAGAGGTGAAGTGGGAAGAGGTCTCTAGGGACAACTGAATGATTGGCTGGGGATATGGGGAGGGAGGAAGCATCAATGGAAAACTTCACTGGCAAACCGGTTTTTCAGCCTTGAAGCCGGGCATGCCTTCCTCCTGCTTGCCATTGTCAGATGACTAAGCATCTATGCATTGAATGTCAAGTGGTCATTGCCATCCGTACTGTAGCGTCTTATCGCTTACCTTGCACGGCTACAGACGTGTCACAGCAGAAACAGAGGTACGAGGATATCCACGGTCCACGACCTACAGGCCTAACATGACCTGCATTGACTGAGGCGACCTGTTTACCTGGTGCAAAAGGTGACCTGATCTGACCTGGTGCCGAGGGTGGCCTGGTCTGACCTGGTGCCGAGGGTAGCCTGATATTCTGACCTTGTCCCGAAGGTGGCTTGTAGCAGCGTGGTGATGCCGGACACGAAGAGGGTAGCGCCGATGATGTAGCCCCTCGCCGGGTCGTCGTCTGCCATGCAGGTCAGCGGCGTCACCATCAGTGGCATCGCCACAGAGCCGTTCAACATCGTCAGGAATTGCTGCAACGCACGGACATGGATGACAGCGAGACAGGGACGAATATTGGATATCCAGCCCTTCAACGTCGTCAGGAATTGCTGCAACGCATGGACGGATCGTCAGAAATTGGTGCAACAGGACGGACCGAGTGGGACAGACATGGTCGTACAGCAGTTGAACACGCGCCAGGAATTACTGCAATAGGAACTCAGAGAGCTAAAACGGTTTGGGACCGGAGCAACAGCCCAAATTGATGGTCGGCTGTTGGAACTTTTATTCATCGCAACAGAGCAATATATAACTAGTTGAGGTATTTGGGGATAAGAACAAAAAAAAAAAAAAATCGTACAAAAAATGATTTGGAAGTTGATATACTAACAAAGCATAACACGTAAACTAGACAATTAAATCAAAATAATCACTGCAAAATCACCATTAAACACTTGAGCACAGCAGCGACAGCCCTACCTGAAACCCAAGCAGCAGACACGTGTACCACGGAGGAACATCGTTAACGCCGTACAACAGCTCATGAGAAGGATCGTCGGTCTTCGGAGGCCTTTCTGCATGTCGGTCCGTTGTGGCCTGGTGTCGGTCCTCGGCATAGGAGTTCTGGAAATACAACGAAATCGGGCAGTTGGTCAAAAAGCAGCGTCGTCCCTTTGAACAACCAATCTAAATGCGTCATTAAAGGTCACTGGAAGCAGCCAAGAGTAAAGAAGTGCAGTATCAAAACGGTTTCTGTGCAATCATTTCTCCATGCACAAGACCTCTGGTTCAACACATCAAAATGATTCTAGAACGCATTAGCTGCAAATGCAATGCCGCATATGACATTCCGCTGAATTCTGACCTTTGTTGATGGGGATGGAGAGGGCAGGGCTTCGTGATTCTATTCTATTTGCCAGAGTCTGTATTGCCTATGGTCAGCGACTTATCGATTGTGTGATGGCTGAACATCGCGACAGTTTATCGAAGCCTAATAAAACAATAAGTTTCGACGCGTCATTTTCAGCATAGCGCTGGTATGTCCACCGGTTCTGGAGTTGCGTCGTAATTCCAAGACCGATACACGCTTGGCCCCAGTGTCGTGCTGACCTGGGAAAGTCGTGGTGCGCTTGCCCTCGCTGCTATCCTTTTCGTGACGAAGGGGTGTGGGGAGGGGGGGGGGGGTTGGGGGAGTCGTTTAATCATTTACCCACTCTGGCATAGCGCAGTTGGACATGGAGCCGTCTAAGGAATTTGAATGTTTGGGCCGGGCTGACTTTCGCTTGTACAACATATCATATAAATTTGGCGATATGGTGTTTGACTTAGTGACTAGGGAGTATAGTTCGGTACAGAGAGAGACTGAAGACTTCGGAAGCGCTATATCTTTTCTTCCAATTAAGTCGTTTTGTTTTGACCTTTCTAGCCGCTCATGAATGCTTAGGTTAGGAACTGTTGAGTGTGGTCAACTTTAACGACTAACTTACGTTATAACTATAAGGAAACCATCACTTGTTTTTATGACCTTCTTAGCCCCTCTGGCTCGTGAGGTAGAATAAGAGCGTCTTAAAAACAACATTTATGATTCCAAGAAAAAGCATGAAGCAACAAAATGACCGGCCGTTGAGGACCTCGAATATCCAGATCATTCGTCTTATCTTAGCAATTTATTATGAGTGAATTCAAGGGACGAGCTGCAAATGATATAATTTCTATTCAGGCATAGCGTCTTTTTGCCACTGAACGTGTCATGGCAAAAGTGGACACTAAAACCAGCTGGTGTCGACCCTGCACACTGTATAGTGCACGTGCGTACGCGCAAAGTTGGACCTTAACTAACGTATGTAATTCGCCGTCTAGGTCAATGTACCCTGCGTCAGGTTTCTACGCCATCCCATTTTAGCCTTTGAAGAGCCCATGCTGACCTATGTCGGCACAAAGTCAACCTCTTTTTTTTACCTCTCCCTGACAGTTGAGGGTCCGTGCTAACCGCTGATGGCTCATGCCGGCCTCTGAGAGCCCCACGTATAGTAAGCTTCTGACGGGAAGAGCCACACTGGTCTTTTTGGGTACCACGCCGACCGCTGAGAGCCCATGCCGTCTCTCAGGCCTAATCTATACCTAACGCTACACTGCATTTACTCCGTATAATTTGTCTATATTCTGTTCGTTTTCAGAGGTACTGCGGTTGAGCAAGTTTATGCCAATGAAGCTGAAACGAAAATAGATCCCTGTGAATTATCAGACATGATTTTATGTATTCGAGCGAATGACAGCAAGCACACAATTCTAAAATAGCATTAAATAACAATCCTAAAACTATTCTTTTAGGATCGTGTGTTTGTTGACATTCGCTCGAATGCATAAAATAAGCCCCTGCTCTTACTGAAGTACTGACTAATTACAGAAATGTCACAGGTTTCACCTACCCGTAACCGGAACAAGTATCCACGACAAGACAACCGATGTTTAACTGGCCACGAAACCTGTCGCCACCGCATGACGTAAATCAGCTGATTTGAAACGGTGAGTGGCGACTGCAACTGCCAAATGCGGGTTCTGCAGGCGGCACATACCTATGCTGCTAAGTAACAATGTGCACGAAATGGACATTTTTGGCGTGCGTACGTCCTCGACTGGTGGATATCAGCCGTTTTCACGACGGCCATCTGGTACACATTTGGTGCACATATGGTGCAGATTAGGTGCAGAGTTGGTCAAATTAGGTTCAGTGTGTCTCTTAGTAGCTATCAGCTAGGGTTGCACTAATTGTTTATATGCCTGCTTTGTCATATTATCAGAGAGTATCATTGATTAAAACACTGAAATAAATTTATAAAATGAAGAGCTTTGCTGTAAAAGAGATTAGGTGCAGATTTGGTCAAATAAGGTGCATTCACTGAAAACGGCTATCATGCACCTGATCACTGATCAGACCACGTCGCACAGCTAAGTCGTCCTGATGACTCAAATAACCGGCTGGAATGGGTAAAACAACAGCAGCAAAACTGCTGAATCATCACACGTGTTAATGTGAGTGCTGCCTCAGAAATGACAGCCGCCATTGGTGCAGATTGACAAATGAGAGAAATCGGTCGCTTTGATTAGGACGTAATAAAAGTCATCAAGCAGAAGTTAAGCCCATCAAACAAAGCTTTCATAATTGAAAGCTGGAATAGGAATAATCAATACAGCGAATCGACACGGACGCCGAAAGTGATGCCAATGCAATGTCGTAACTTCTATATAGCTTACGAACAATGGAGAAGTTTGAAATGAAGAAAGGTCAAAAAGGGATTTTTTCACAAAGTTCGCTATATCATCGAAGCTTCCGATTTGTATTTACGCATCATCGTCAGGAATCGTATCAAATAATCTGTCTACGTCGGATCAAGTCAATGAACAATTTGATGCCACCGGAAATTATGATACGATATACGGTTGCTGACGAAGATCCGAAACCCTCTCCTGTCTCACGTTTCACATTCTCATTTTATAGACATTTCAAAGTATTCTGAGAATGTTAACATAGGAGCATAGACTTTAAGTATGTTATATAACATATCCACATGACAGGGTTTTCACTATAACACAAAAGTTCTGCAAGTTAAAAAAGGAACTTCAACCATAATTAAAATCACACAATTCCACAGGCAACTGAAGTAACTGGTTGGTTGTGGGAGCTCGACAAACGTTCGGAATGGAAGGATAGGCTTTTCCCGTGTTTTTTTTTCTGACGAAATGGTATAATTCTATATGATAAACGCAAACTACATACACCGCAGCGGTGTCGCAGTTGTGGTCAACCACAATAGCTATTTTCCTATACGCCGAGATATCCCTTTAGCATTATCCTAGCCGCGCAGGAAACATTGCACTACGTGATTTTTCCCATACGCCGAGATATCCCTTTAGCATTATCCAAGCCGTGCGGGAAACATTTGCACGTGGTCTTTCCTGCACTGTTTTCCGGCACGGGTTGATGACCTACAGTTCTGGTGATTTTTGATAAAAATCTTAAAAAAGGTGATTTCAATAATTAGTTTCTGAATAGATATTAAACGACGTATGGGAAATATCTTACTGAACTTGCTCTGGGAAGAAAAATGGAAACCTCGGTCTTCAAAAAATCTCCGACACTCGGCTACGCCTCGTGCCTACAATTTTTTAAAGACCTCGGTTTCCATTTTTCTTTCCCAGAGCCGTTCAGTAATATATATTCCTGCCCTGTTTTCCGGCACGGGTTGATGACCTACAGTTATGGTGATTTTATAATAAAATACTGTTTGAAAAAGTACTGGTGAAAATGCTGGCGATTTTATCATTAAAGTGATGTAATAATAAAATTGTGAGTTTGTGAATGGATAGCGAGACGACGCATAGGAAATATCCTACCGAACTTGCTCTGAAAAAAGGAAACCTCGGTCCCCTTGGCCTTAACCCGCGAGTTGCTGGGGGGGGGGGGCGTTAAACGCCCCCACTTTTTTCGCCGGGCCATAGCATAAAAACGGCGCGCCGCAGGCGCGCCAAATTTTGGCACCTGTAGGGAATTGACTGAAGTTCATTGTGACAATGTTTCAAAAAAATCGGTCGGAAATTTTTTGAGATATTGAGGTTTTAGTGACGTCATGATTTCTGAGTTTTCGACCAAAAACTGCATATGTTCAAAAAATCATATAAAATCACAGAATAGACATACAGACATGCCGTAAACGCCAATAGACTGCCAATACCATGAACAATCAAATGGCTATCTTCGACTATTGATTATCGTTCCGCATTTTCCAAAATATTGAACTGAATCTTGGCAATTTCTCGTGACTACTTCACGACCATGATACATTCATTTCTCAAATTGAACTTTTTGAGCCAAACACGTACACATCTGATAAAATGAATGTGACCATCGTGTTCTACGCCCCAAATTACCCATTAAACATGTGTCACAGGCTGCGAATATCAGTTTTGATTTTCGGGGATATGTGCCTACCCGGTTGACCTGACCTTGACCCTGACCTATGCTTGACTGACCCCTACATGTAGCTGACACTCTTGTAGGCCTTATATGATGGATTGTGCACCGTTTTGACAGAGTTTATGACGAGAGGCGCCCATCGCGAAGTCCTGAAGTCCATGCTACTGAAAGCCCGATTTCAGGTGTCTGACCTGACCTTGACCCGACCTGTGACCTCAAAATTCAACTTAAAAGTACCCATTTGAAGCGTCTCGTCGCGTTCTTTCGTTTGCCGCCTCGTGCGTTTCGCTGCGCCTATTGGTTCTCGAGTTATCGGCTGGGGGCGTTTAACGCCCCCCCCCCCCAGCAAACGGTGCACAGTGGGGATTTTTCCGATCTAGCACGTCTTAATTCGTAGAGGGCAAACCATAGGTAGTATTGTAGCCAGATTGTTCACAGATGTTGGCTGGTGTGTTCTGGTGAGAATGTTTACCTGTAAATGTGCATAATCAACATAGTTTAGGGGGTTCAATTGGACCCCTGTCTCAGCCGTTTGGCCCCTGATCAAGCTAGAGCTTCGCGGAAAAATCAAGCGTGCTGCCTATGACGAGATGAGGCCGAATGTATCCAATTTCAAAGTCCAAGGTCATTAGTTGACTTTCCAAGTCAGTTTAATGACCCAACTAAAGTTGGGAAATCGAGACCTCTTGAAACTTCGTAAAGTTCGGGTGTGACGGGGTATTTTGGGGTGCTGATCACGAATTTCATGTTAGTTTTGATCACAGACGATGTCTTTATGCATTAAGGCCAGGTCGGGTCAGGTCAGGTCAGATCAACCAGTAGGCGTCCTGCCGGCCACCCATAGTAGGAGTCACCTACCACTGACAGCTTCGTAACATGGTACGATGGCACCAGAACTACTTCGTAAATATTCAAATGGTTGCTTAATTCGAAATCAGCACCAAAAACTACCCTAGAAACAAGTAAAACTCTAAAAAGTGAATCAAGGTCATCAAAGGTCAATGACCTTGACTTGACCTTCACGTGACCTTGACACCCACCATAATGCATGGCACCAACATCATTTCACATATTTGAACGTTTAAAACCACAAAAAGACTGGAAACCGCGGATAATGTGAGCTGGCATACGCCGAATCGCGATTCCGGCCAAACATGGTCTCGAGGAATATGCCACAGGTCAAAGGTCAGTTGGGTCAGAGTCATGAAATTTTTAGGTTAGATGTACAATTGATGATCTCGAGGGCACCGAAAGTTTTGTCGCTATCGGCCGCTTTTTGCGCGAGCAATTTGCGGAAAACCATGGGGTTTTATCCAACCACTTCCCCCTCCCCCTCCCCACAAATGCGAGGGTTAATAAGGTTACGGTATGTATAATTTACGCTTGCCATCCTATTCCTAATGAATGTGTCTCAGAAAATATGCATCATATAAATCAGGAAGTAAAATTATTCGCCTATGTCCGGAGCATACCTATATCGTGCTGTTTGCCCTAACGCTCCTAGAGTGGGGTATTAAGATACTCTAATGTGAATATTCCGTGTTCAGGCAAGTCCCGGCAGCCAAACTAGGCGTTGTCTTGTGCAGGAGAAAGTGGCGAATTCGATAGGATATGTTTTTGGAGTGGAAAAGTGTGGAAAACATTGTTGATTTCCTATGTACATTTATTTAGAATACCATTCCTTCAATATGGTGTCTGTTGTTTTTGTAAATGGCATTTTTGTGACCTTAGTAAGGTTGGGCATGCTTTCTGTTTGCCATTCCATTCCTAATAAAGGTGCCTTTCAGACGATATACAACTTTAAGACCTCGCAAGAATAAAACCAACAGGACAGGACAATGACATTGAGCTATACTTTCGGGCCTTACTGAGCCCATTGAGTAATCACGCATGAGTGTGAACTTTTGGCGCATTTTCCTAGTCTTGCTGTGGACATACAGATAAAACAATGCCATGCTATATGAAACATTCAGACATCTCTTAGCCCCACTGACACAAAAAAAAACAAAAATCCAAAAAAGATTTCTGGAATTAAGACGCGCTAGATCGGAAAAATCCCCACTGTGCCTTGTGGTCAAAAATAAGTTGACCATTCAACCATCAGCGATTTATGATGTAAGGAATGGGCAAATTTTAGATATGAGCGATATAACTGCATTTTGGTTAGTCTCAGCAGCTTCAACCGTGTGCCGCCCTACTACCGTCTATGTTATGAGGCGGCCGAATTCCGAGAGGAGCAAAAAGTAGCAAAAGTTGCAATGTAATTCTAACCTAGAATTGTTCAAAGAATCGAATGGTGTCAAATTTGTAGTGTCAACTTTTGTCGAAAGTTGTTGATTTTCTATGTTTTTCAAAACCGTACTGATAACTAAAACACCGTTTACAATATATCTTTTATTTGGCGTTTAGAACCCCGAAATTTGACAAATATATTATTGTAATGCATCCACATACTCCACAATGATGTGGCCATTAGACCATATGCCACTTGTCATGCTGGATATCATTGCTTTCCAGTTATAAGCCACAGAATCGCGTGCTTGTTTTCAGCATCCATTTCTACCCGGTGTGAAAAGTAAGCGATGCCTGACTTTGAGCTCATTTTTTCTACTCAACATCATTCTTAAGGGTAAAATGAGACATGTAACGTAAAAATTCAGACAATTTTACGCAAGATGAGCCCAAAAGAATGATTTAAGAGAGAAGTCGGTTCTGGGACTTAAGACAGGCTAGATCGGGAATATCCCTACGGTGCGGTGGGTGGCGAAATACCCCAGCAACTGCCGGGTTAAAAAAAATATCCGGCACTCGGCTACGCCTCGTACCTACCTACAATTTTTTTAAGACCTCGGTTTCCATTTTTCTTTCCCAGACCGTCCAGTAATATATATTCTTTCTCAGCTGCGACCGTGTATGTCCTTGTTAAACGCCAGACCGCTGCATTTCCAATCGAACCTGCCACCCGTTCTTTTGCTAAATAAACGTATCCAACCAATCAGCACATCATTTGAGCTTTACAACTTTTCAGCTGCAGCTCGCCTGGCCTCCTTTGGATTTCTCCGTCAGGCTTCTCATCTGCATGTATTTGCATGACCTGTCAGCTCCAACCGGACCGCGCTGGACAGCTGATCACGCCCTGATGCAGATGAGAGACGCTACAACAGCCGTCGTATTGTCTAGGTCACAACCAAGACACAGCCTGACATCCCTCCGTTGCTATGGTTACCTGTGCGGCGCCGTTGGTTGTCGACGCCGACTCAGCCATGGTTAGGACTAGGTCCGTCCGCCGATCGGTCGTCTCTCCACTGTCTCTCGCCGAGTCTCCACCGTTCGCCACCTACCCGCACAGCCGTGCACCCCGCTCCCGTATGCACGCAGCACTGACCGGCCGCGCGGCCTTTCACTGTAGTACTGCTGGTGAGCGCTGAGCGGTCGAGCGCCGAGCAGTCGGGCCGTGCGGTCGGGTCGAGCCGAGAACGGCGGGCGCCCGGCCCACGCTGGTCCTGACAGGTGTACGATCGACAGGTGCTCTGAGGGACGGCGGAGCCACGGCGGACTGGCCGCCGATTGGGCTAGATCTTATGGGGTAGCATGTGGTCGACATCATTTCTGTTACCATGTGGCAATAATCTGGTTTCGCAAGATTTATGTTTAGTAACTTTTAAGCATTATTCAAACTTCTGAAGGCAAAATGATATCTTTATAAACAAATCAAACTTTATGGTCCTGCAAATACCTCGTTTAACTAAAATTTCGTCGCCTATGTGACAAAGTATCGGAGGAAACATTGCGCAGGGAAGTGTCTCTCCTTAGCTCGAGAGTTGGCGCGTCGAACACCAGCCCGGAGGAAGCAAAAACTATACCTATCACTTCTGACATCAGTAAATGACGTGCCTCCAGTCCAATCAGTCTTGCAGACTGAGGCTCAAGTGTCAGTCTCATGTATTTGAAAATAGTGACCGTGTGACGCGCTGCTAGCTATTGGCGGGCAACGGGCATGTTATATAACAAAATCAGCCATGGCGCAAATGCCAGTCCGAGCAAAATTCGTAAAAGGTCGTCCATCTCACTCCAACACGCAAGCGGGACGGCCAGCGGGTATGTGCCCTGCATCCCACCCTGATGTCGGTAATCAGTCGGCGCATGGGGACCCGCTGTTGGTCAAACCGGCGTTAGTGGCACGATGCTGGGTCTCGGCTCGCTACGCCGCGCGGTCTCTCGTTGCGACAGACCTAGCGGGGCAGACACTGGCCTGGACATGACACTGTCATTACTGTTGGGCCCCCAGCGCCCAGCCTCAGGCCAAAGTGGCTTCAAATTGGAGTCTATGGCGACTGACCGTCAATTGCTGGGTGGACCCTAATGAGTGGGTCGGCCACCGCCAAAAACGTATCGTGAACTCACACACCGTGAGCGGCCAGGCTCCGTGCACGCGCTCGTGACGGCCGCGTCATCGGTGAGAGAGTGAGACGGCGCTTTTGGTGTGAAGGCTTATTCAGGTCGTGCGTATGTACATGCAGCCAGATCTTGATAAAACTAAAAAAGTTGATAATTGCAATCGAAGCATTGTCCTTGAACAACAAACATCGTAACGCAAATTAGCATGACTTCGAGATTTCTTTTTATCGTTGGTTTTCTTATACATGCTTTACATTTTCAACTTTTTAATATGTTTTTATTTAATCAAAGCTTCTTATATGTTTCGAGATCTGACAGTGCATTTAACCATTTTAAAATTCTAAAAAGGTACAGAATGGTGAACGCAAACGGAACAGTAAATTAAATATCTGTAAAAAAAAATCCGAAGAACATGAAAAGTTTTAGGCGCGCCATTTTTAGGAAAACCCACTCACATGCTCCTTACTGCGCTATAGATAACTGTGCTGAGCGTTATACATTTTTTTTTAGTTTATCACACAGACGACCTTTTATCACCACAGGCATCAGTGTTAGGCGCCATGGCCGATGACCTTCACACGCCGGGTGCACACCGCCCCCCACCTAGCCATGCACGGAAACTCCCTTATCGGACTCGCGTGAGCCGTTCTGAGACGCCGCGCGGGCCAAACGAGTTCTGCGGGCACGCTCCAGCCGCATTGCGCAAACACGAGCAGCCGTGACGTCACTGATCGCTGGAGTAAATTCCGTAAACAGGCAATTCCCAGCGCCAGGCCCGCGAGCTGCAACCGATCCGAATGATAGCGCACGGAGAACCCAGGAATCTGGAACTGATCAAATTGACCGTAATCTGCTGCGCTAGTTCCAGGTTGACCTTGCGCACTGTGTGCAGTACACGGTTGGTTGGTGTTCAAAGGATAGTCGGTCGCGGAGCTAGGCCGCTGCCGCTGCCGTTATCATGCTGTGTCGCTGGTCCAGACTTGAACTAACAGCACCGGAGTTGCTGATATATGCTTGACCACCAAGTTGCTGAGCTACCAGCCGAACAGACTGCTTCTCCACCACGGCGATAGACTCATCACTCATCAGCACCCTGAAATGGAGGTGCCAGCGCATGCAGTGTCCATGTGTGGGCCATAACTCGACACCAGCTTCTCTCACTATCCGCACCTCAGACCGTTTGCATTCACTGCACGCCTCTGCGTCGCATATACCCTCCTGCGCCGGCGGTCGCCGCACCGCCCATCGCTCGGGGTCCCGGTAGCGGAAGACGATGATGCCCTGGATGACCGCGATGGACTGCCGGCGGCTGTGGGCCAACCGCCGCTGATCACGCCAAAACTGAGGACACTGGATATGACCGGCAGACGCCAATCTGCAAACCTTGAGCGGTAATGGGAGCCGCTGCAGTTCGGGGAGTGCGGCACTGACCTTGGCTGAGGAGCATGAGAGATTCGAGGTACCGGGCTAGATTTGATTCGAAGTAGACAGACTAGAATTCAACCAGGTATGTCAAGCAATGAAACGTTCGTAATTTTATCATAGCATTAATGTGATTCATGGAGTTCTGACTTGTATGGCGCAGCAGCTGAGCCCATCCTGGTGGGGCGGTAATGGACGGTAATGTCCCGAAGTGAGTGTCCACTCGAAACGTTTATCACAGAGCTGAGGGGTATGCTTATTGCTTACTCCTATACCGCAGTTGGCCCTCCACAGGTTTTCTCGAGGCATGATCGTCAGCGGCCAGGACAAGGAAGTGTAGCTAGGGGTGCGAGTGGTCCGTTCCTCAGGATACCACGAGGACCGATGAACTCGGAGATAGAGCAAATAATTTGCTCTGCCAACGATAGTACTGGCTGCCTCAGCTTATACCTACACCAGCGGGCAGTTACACAAGTTCAATATACCAAACCCTTGGACCTCTCATTTCCATGAAACAATACCTCTAGGCGATATATTATGGCTGGCGTTAGTGGCTCACAATCTGCTCGGACTGAGCACAATGACTCTGTCTGCGGACGGATTATACCGTCCTGCAGAGTCGCCCATCGGTCACGGTCCGAGATGGTCCGACACCAGCGCCACCTGTTGTCCCAGAGACCAATTGCCGCCGGCCGGCCGCTGTCGCCGCGCGGTGACCGATTCTGACCGATGACCGCGGCGGTCAACGGGTGACCGCCGCCACCACCTGGGGCCCGCGGCGGTGACGGTCCAGGAGGCAGATCAGCCCTGACGGAGATGGGAGAGGCTGCTAGGGGTGTGTAAGACCACTAACGCCAGCGGCAGCTCGGGTCTCTGTCCCGTAACTCTGAGGTGGTGTTATTAGCGACACCTGTCTACCGGAGTCTTCAGTGTCCGCCGATTGCGCTGCTGCTGCAGGCCAGTTTTCATTAACGTGGCGACGGCTCTGTAGTCTGATGTTTCTAATTCAGCGTCCCGACCATTCTCCATGGGTTTGATATGGGCCAATTTTCGCCTGCAGCCAACACATGAATGGGTGGTCGGCCCGTGAATGGGCAGAGAACTTAGACGTCAATAGCGAACGATGTGATCACCGCTAGCTAGTCTTACATCATATTTATTAGCCCAGCTATGATATATCGTCGTCACGTCCTGATTTGTACATGTACACGCTTACACCATTCACATCTGATTCTATTGAATGCCATCGATTCAAAGGCATTGATTATTCAATGCCTATAGTCAGTCAATTCTCAAACCGGTTCTTCCTCGATTATTATTCTATTATGAGTTCTGGCTACACGCCTCGTTGCTTTTTGATGTAGAGCAGGAATGACAGTAAACGCAATAAAGAATACTCCGAAGTCCGAATGTGTCGCGAATCTGAGCAATCTGCATAATAAAATAAAGTGTCAGGCAATCTCCGAGCATATCATAGATACCAAGAAATATGCACCGTAAATGTTTCGGAACTAGTGTTGTTTGATAGCAATGACCTAACCATGGGATCATATCTATGTCATATCCGGCGTGTGTGGTTATCCATGTGCGTGGATCAGTCCCAGCAATTCTATCCGCAACTCTGCAGCATTTAGTGACCAGTGCATTGTCCGACGACTTCAAATCAAATGCTGGAAATGCAACTGCCAAAAGGATGCATAAAGGTGAATAAATAATACGGCAACAATATAATTCATGTCACATAAAACGACACAGCAGGCTGTACGAATATTTGCGATCCCCAAATGAACTGTTCCAGACCATACTTTCTAACGGAGCAGAACGGCATTCTAGCGCGGCTTAATCGCACCGAAGGGCCGCCCAGCAGTCGCATTGTTAAAATGACGCATGCCCTGCCTCTCACGAGCTCTATATGAGCAATTCGGGGATATTCCATTAGGCGTCCAGCAGCCGCCAGGGCTGGCGGACAGCTGCCCCGACTGAACACAGGCTGCCAATGAGGCAGGGCGACTATGGGGTGCTGCGCTGCCCGACTGACCTCTCTGGACCCGCGTGCAGTATGCCGGCGGGGGCTGGATTCAGATGTGATGTGTCGCGACTCCCATCGGTATTCAGCGGGGGAGACGGGCTGAAAGCCTGAGTCCCGTTCCGGCTTTTCGCCTGTGGCTGAAGAGATCACGGCGTCCCGAGCTGATACGCCACAAGATGCGTTTTTAGGTGTTTGTTTCGTTGACAGGCTACAAATCTGCGCCAACAGGCATATGGGGAAGAATCTGAGAGTGAGACGTTACAAGGAGGCAGTACTGACGCGTGGCAAATTTGATATTCGTTTTACTTTTCGTTTTTATCATTTTATAATCATTTTTCTCTAACTGCCCTCTCTCCCTTTCTCTCTCCTCTCCTCCCCCTCTCTCTCTCTCTCTGTCCCTCCCTTTCTTTCTCAATCACTCACTCTCATCCATTTCATGAATTGTATTATATTCTCTTTATTAGTATGTGCACCAGCATCTTTCGACCGTAATGAGGAATATCAATTATCAAGCTAAAAATCTGAGCATCAAAATGAATTCAACTACACATTCAACTACAATGA